GGAAAGACGTTAGATCATTACAAGACAATCTAGAAAAGGAGAGAAAGGAAGCAGAACTTGGCCAGGGGAAAGCAAATTGATGGTTTTCTAGGAGGAGAAAAGCCAGAGGCGGGTCAGGAAGGACGTTTCCTTGGGGGAGTGGAATGGCTTTCTGGGAAAAAAACAGCCCCTGCTGGCCTGGAGGTGTGACACCACACCTTTGCTCCAGTCGGTTGCAGTCCAACTTCCTCACCTAGGGGTTGGTACAGAGTCCAAAGTTGAGATGCTTTCTCCTTCCTGTTTGTGCTACGAATCACCCCTTCTAGGATTCTCTCTGCCCCTCCAAGGCCCAGAATGGTCCCCTATGCTATGGGAAGTCTCCAGGTGAGCAGGCAGGGTTGGGCTGCCCCACCTGAGACAGGGACCCTGGTTCACCCTCTCCCAGCTGGAGGGTTCCAAGTCTTCCTTGAGAGTGGCCCTGTGGGTGTCTTGCCAAGATTTGGGATGCTGATGAGTGAAGCACTCTGAGTGACGGAGTGTGATCACGGTCTGAGTGACGGAGTGTGACAGGCTTTGGAAAAGGCTTTGATTGTTATTCCAAGATTGTGGTCTGTCACATGGAGTCCCTTCCTTGCCAGCTGCAGATACAGCCATCAGCGTTCTAGGAAATGGATGATCAGGATGCCCAGGTTTCACGTTAAAGGGGGTGGGTCAATCTTAAAAACAACAACAGCAACAACAACCACACAAAAAAAGGCAATGAATGAACCCCATAGACAGGGCTTGTAACTTATATGTGAACTTCAAGCATGAAAATTCCCAGCTATAAACAAGGTCCAGAGGAAAGGTTGGTTGGACAAAGCAGGATTTTTAAGTAAACAAAATAGAAATGGGGGGGGGGGAGTCTTTAATTCATATGTTAACTTTAAAATAGAAAGGCCTTTCAAAGTGAGAGGCAGCAAGCGTTTACTTGAGATCAGTAAGAATAGCTATTCAGGAAGCGCTGATTCAGGCAGAAGCCCAAATAGCGTTCTGACTAGGAGACAAAGGTGATGGGTATTTATGAGGAAGGGAAGGGGAACAATTACATTAACAGAAGGAAGGCATTTTTACGGGCACAGATAACATAGTGATGTGTATTCTAAAGAATGTTTTTAATGTTCTGCCCAGTCATCATCAATCCAGTAGTCCTAATAACTGCTTTCTTGTTACCTTTGCAAACAGCTTCCCGCCCCCCCATGAAACATGTTGCTTAGGCCCAGTCCAAAGGTTATGTTGTCCTATTTTAACATTCCAAGGTCTGAGGCATAAGGCGTGCAAGGCAGTTCCTCCGGCAGGGCAGCCTCCGCCCCATTTTAAAGTGGCTCAATTTCTGTTATTGTTTACACATATAATAATTCAACCATGGTCGTTAACCCCTCTGAGGGTCAGGTATTTTGCGAGGGGGCTTGGGATAAAAAAGAAGAGATGCCCTTGACTCGGGGATTCTCTGGAGCTAAGAAAACCAGTCCCTAAATATTGTACGAAGTTGTAATGCATCATGACACACTAGAGAGTTGGTTGGTTGGTTGGTTGGTTTTTAAGTCGGAAAGGAGCCTAGAAGAGGCAGTGATTAAGTAACCCCTGGGGACGCAGAAGCGAGGAGGAGACTTTTAAATGACACAACAAGGAGAGGGGAAAGCATTTTTTAAAAATTGGACCACATGAAATTGCCCAACATTCAACCCTATTTGACACGAAAACAAGCGGTCAATTTCACGTGGTTTAACTTAACCAAGAAGAGTGGGCCTGGCATGGAGGTACCACCCTTCCCACCAGCTCTGACTGAACGGGAGGAACTGCCCAGAAGCTGTGTTGAGAGTGATTCTGAGGACGCTAGGCTGACAGGAAAGGCTAATATTGAAATCGGTTGACCGTCTGTCCTGACTAAGGAATGGGTACAAACAGAGCATAGTTGCCGTACTTCAATTAGAAGGAGCTTTGTAAGCAAACGCACAAGGCGTCACCATGGCTGTAGACAGTTCCTGATAGTCAGAGGGAGATGGCCTATGTTGGGGACGGTTGGGGGGTGGTTGGAGACTCATTTTGGGAGGCTCTTAGAAAGCTAGGTTGATGCTGTATCACAAAGAGCACTGGATAAACCTTATAAACTCTCCTCATACTGCTGCTGGCACCCTATTATCTCCTTGACTTACTTTTTTAAGCAAACACACATTACTTACCTCACCACCACCACCACCCCCCAAAATGCACAGAGATTGCACTGTTCTCTGCTGCTTCACTTTCGCTTAATTCAAAGCTTTCTTTTAAGAAAAGGTCACAGTGTACTAAGAGAACATACAATAAGTACTTTGCAAATTAAATTGCAGGATGTTTTTAGGTAAAAGAAAATCCAAGCCCTGTGACTGTATAGATTTTTGTTTTACAAAGGTCAGAATCGTTGCATACAGAATTGGTTTTCTGTTTTGTTTTTTACCACTAAGAGGGCATCCAAAGAAGCTATTTCGGTCCTGTGTCTCAGGCTCCACGACATAAGAAAATTAGGAAACTTTATTATGCCCTGCCTAGATTTAGCTTTCTGGAGGGATATCTGTGCTGTGTCCCAGTGGGACTTTCTAAATTGCATCGAGATTATTGCAAATTGACCCTGCGGTTTTAAGTGCACAATGCTGACATGTCCTTCTAGATGTATTTTTGCTACCAGATTGTCCTGTTTTTCTCTTGAAAGCTAGGCACCCCAAGAAACTTCCGATCTCGATTTCAAAGTGGCTCTTGACCAGGGGTGCCCACGAGGGACTCGTTGAGAAGCTTTCCTACCGTCCACCCATCCGAGTCTCACTCTAGAAGATTCTGATTGGGTAGCTCTCTCTACATCCTATAGAAACATTTGTTTCTCTCTAAGATTTCTAGCAATGAGCAAAAGCATGCAGCTGCCCTCTGCAAAGTCAGACTGAGTTTCAGTGAAGAAGCAGGGTGGGGGGAGGGTGGCCTTTCCTGGTAGGTGTCCTGCCTCCCGCTGTGGCTGGCAGACCCCACTCCCCATGATGTGGTGGTCAGTTTGTTTGCTGTTAAGCCTCACACCAGGCCAGTTTCCTGCCAGAACTGGAAATAACCTACTGAGACTGAAATTAGACCTTGTGAAGTCTCATCTTACATGTTGTGAGAAACGGCTCTTCCGTAAACTAGAAAGAAGAAAACATTCTCAGTTTAGAAAAGTTGCTCGTGACTCCAGCCCACCCAGATTCTTAATACGTGTACCGCCAAGAACAAGTCAGTGAATTTTAGTCTCGCATCCATGTTTTCTTAGGAGGGGGTGAACGGTGGGGGGTCCTCCCCCAGCTATGAGCATGGGCTACCAGGCTAAATGTGAGAAGGACAGGGGACATTCCTTCAGATAGAACTTCTGTCCAGGGGTGACTTCTCCTTGTCAGACATTAGATGGAGTTGGCCGACCTTGTCTTGGACAAGCGAGACAGGGGTGAGGGACTTTAATAGAATCTTTGTGTTACCCGGAGATAATGCACAAAATCTAGAGAAACACAGGGAACAGAGAGGAGACGTGGGATTTGGGGACGGATTCTCCGTCATCCTCATATTTTGGTTTGGTACCTGAAGGATGGTGGAGCAGACAGGGAGACCATTTTTGGAGCTGAGTCTGGGTTTGCAGTTCGAGAAAGATTACTGCCTCTTAATCACGTGGCAGTCTTTCTCTACTGGTGAACCCCCCAATCACTCTGGAGATTTTAATTACATTTTTATTGAACTTGAGCAAGATGCACAGAAACTGTAGACTCCCAGCCAGGGATACACGCAGGGGTGAGTTCCCGGTTCCCGGGGGGGTGCAGGCTTCCTTTTCATGGTAGATTGCTGTCCAGTTGCGGTGATGACAGGACAATCCAGAAACAGGTAGAGGCAGCTACCCTGGCCCAAACGGGGAAGTGAACAGAAACGCCAGGAATGCATTTCCGTCATCAGTAATGGGCTGAAATCTCCTCAGACGTCTCTCTCACTCTTTTCAAAGCCTTTGAGTTTGAGTTTAGCAGCAGCAGGAGAGCAAAATTGATACCTGGAAGATTCCTGATCCTGGTCATCCTTGGAGTGGGTGGTTGTGCAGAGAACGGCATCGATTGAGGAGCTGTCTCAGGATTCCGCCAATCTTCCCCGCTGTAAAATTCCATTTTGCAAGAATGAGCCTGGTGTGGTGCCCTTTGCTTTAAATCAGGCAGAGGAGAGTCATCGCAACAGTGCAGCCATGATCAGTCCACACACTTCGTGATGCTCCCTACTGGAAGGTTGGGAGCTTTAGGGAAGACACAGAAAACAGAAGTCAGAGATTATCACACGCTGTGTCCGGAGTGGGTCCAGGGTCGGTCACAGAGATGGCAAAAGTTGCCATCTCTTTTCTTCCTTGCCTTACTTCTGCTCTTGCTCGGTAGAACTGATTCAGAAAGACTAAAGTTGGGGGGAGGAAAAATTTTCTGTAAACCTATCGATGCACGTGCTTACCATTTATTGAGTGATAATTATGTGCCAGTCCCTGCGTTAGGCACGTCTCCTGTCGTATGACTCACAACCCTTGCTGGAGGTAGGTATATGCACCCCGTTTTCCAGATGGGAATCCCAAGGCACAGAGAGGTACAGTGACTTACCATGATCACACAGCTAAGTAGTGTCTGAGTCAGGCTTGTTATCTCCTTCTCTCTGAAATTTCCAAAGCTCCCTTTTGAGCATGGCATGCTGCCTTCATTACTGATCTGAAATGGGGGTCCTGGGGGCAGCCAGACCCCGCTCCTCCACGCCCACGTGAAAAGGAACGACACGTGCTTGGTGGGCTGGGTGGGGTGGGCTTCCACAAATTCCCTTTGGCTAAGGCAGGGGGCTTCCGTGGGTGTCCCCGTCCTGCGCTCTGGGGTGTGGCTATGTTTTCATTTCTCTGCCTTTCTCGTTTGCGTTGCCGTCTCTCTCAGGTGTAGTGTGCCTGTTCCCAAACCAGATACCATCTATCTCTCTCTCTTTCGTAGGCACGGTGCTGTTGTGCCAGGCAAACCAGGAGGGATCTTCCATGTACAGTGCCCCCAGTTCACTTGTATATACTTCCGCAAGTAAGCCCTTGATGTAGCTCTTTTTGTTTTGTGACCTAATTCTGAGTCCAGTCACCTTCCCTGCCATGTAAGTTCTCGTCCCCTCCCTCTGTACCACCCTCCCTTGTGGCTTTCTCTCGACGAGGTGAGGTTGGTTTTCATACGCATGTCTCCGTTTTCCCTGTCGCCTTAGCATCGAGTCCCTCTGCGCATTCTGTCTGAATCCTCGCTTCCCAGATGTCCCAGCCATTCTTTGTGGAGGCCTGTCAGGATTGGGACATGGGATAACGGGCTCGGGGAGGGGCAGGAGGGGGGGCGGCTACAGCTGATTGCCTGCCTTCTATGACAGCTTTGTAAATTGATACGAGAATAATTGAAGTACGATATGCAGACCACCCCACTGGCCACCCTAGCCCAGCACAGGGCTTGACTAGCGCTCTGAGCAGTTTTCTTGCGGTGGAAATTATCACTAGCCTGTGACCAGGGGCTTCTTTGCAAGGCTGTTCTCTCCTTGACTGTGTGATTCCACTAAGGAGGAGGAAGAGGGGGGGGGGGTGTGGAGAAAAGAGGGCGGTTCTCTCCCCGCCCCCCGCCCCCCATTTAACTGGGGAAACAAGAACAACAAAACGGCTCTTTCACAGATGTGAACATAGCCATCAAGGGCTACGGAGAGGAAACCAAAAATAAATACAGACGCTAGATCACAGAGCTGGGGTGGGACAACCAAGGATTTCTCTGCCTGGGATGGATGCTTTGGAGAGCCCCCACTCCCACCCCAACCCCCAGGGCAGGGAAGAGAGCATTCGCTGGTTCCGCCATGGTCCCGCAGCTGAGTCCAGACCGTGTCATCGTTTTCATACAGTGTATGCGTACACCGTACAAAACCCCCATAACTACCCCAGTGGGTCCTCACTGGGATCAGGACACAAACATTAGGCTGGGGGCCCGGGGAAAGGTGGGCCGCTCCTGAGACTGGCTAGCGAAGGGAGGTGGCAGAGAGCAGAAAGCCCAGGCTCGCGACGATTACAAGGATGAGAGGCAGGAGAAGCCTCACCATGCGCCAAGGCCAAGCGTCAATTCCCAAAGGCCCACACAAACCAAAGTCTTCGCTGTGGGGCAAAAGTCAGAAGCAGTGACAGGAACCCCAAAAGGTAACGAGCATGAGAGACGTGAGGGAGCCTGAAGTCTTCAGGGCGTGAGGGGCAACCAGCCGCTTCTCCCAACCAGAGCATAACCTCCAACAGCAGATTTGATGTTCATGAAATACAAGGTCCCCTAGAAGCCAACATCTAGCCATACTGGTTCCTTCTGGATGTATGACAATGACCCCCATGGGGTCGGTGTAAAACGCGCATGCATGCATCTCATGCGTACAGCTCCTAGAATTAGAATGTTCTTGCATGTTTCCCAGGCTCAACTCTGTATAATCCTCTCAAAGTCTGCACAGGTAGGTGTTATAATGTTTGCTTTCCAGCCGAGGACATGGAGGGTGCTGGGGGGTGGAGTGATTCAGCCAGTAGATGGTAGATCGGCTTCTCCAACTTGGGGAAGTGACTCAACGTTCCACTTCCTTTCTGCCTCCATTTGATGCTATATCTACCGTTCCCGCCCTTTTGTCTATAATAGTATTTTCAGAAGGAGAAGGGGGTTGAGCTCCACAGGACTGTTTTTGCTCTAATCTTATTGTCCCAGGGAGAACCACCTGGGATGAAATGTCCTCTGTCCGCGCAGTCCAGTAGGTGCTCCTGGGACCACGGCATGGACTTTTTAATTTTATTTAATCTTAATTACTGTCACTCTAATTAGCCTCTGAGGCTCATGCCACCCTATTGGAGAGCGTGGCTTTCTACCATCATGACTCTATTTACATTTCAGTTTTCCTTTGAGAAGTGAGCAAAATAAATGAAGTGCGGAAAAAGGGCTAGTTTTAATTGGCACAGCTTATTCTAAGGCAATTTGGGGAAAGTGTGGGTCATAAATGCCAAATGCGGAAATGTGTTAAAACAGGTGGAGCACACAGAGGAAATGAAAACATCGAAAACTGAGGTCAGCAAACCAGCCTGCGGGCCAGACCCAGCCCGCAGCCTGGTTGCTTAGGCTTGGGAGCTGAGAAGGGGTGTAGGTGTTTTCAAAGCATTATACAAACAAAACAAAATCAAAAGATAACGTGCAAAAGAGACGTCGGTGGCCCATAAAAGCCTAAAATCTTGATGATCTGGCTCTTTACAAAAGTAGTACGCTGATCTCTGATGTAAAGGGTCCCTTTGATGATTGAAAATACAAACTGGGAATATCACTTCCCTGCTTATAATGATCCTTTTTTTTTCAGCGTTTAAAAGTAAAATTCATAATAATTATAGGAACTGTATAATGTGTGTCCAACACCCTTCATTTTTAAATTGCATAATCAGTCATATTGTCTACACATTTTTCATCCTATTATTTTCACTTATTATCATGTCGTGTGTACTTTATGAAAACATGGTAATGACCTCAGAATATTCTATTGTTTAATGATCGTATATTTTAATCTATCCTTCCATTGTTGGGTACCTAGGCTGATAGCAGTTTTTCCAAAACTGATAAAGACAGTAAGTGTCCCTCTATGTAGCAGTTTTAAAGCAAACAACAAGTAATAGCTAATCCTCCTCTCCCATAACTAAACAAAACAAAAACTAGTTTCTTACAATAAGAACCTTCTCTCTTGGCCCCATAAGCAACGGTGTTCAGACCGACTAGCTCAGTTAGTGTTTTGTAATGGCAACCAACTGAGACCCCTTCTTCTCCACCGGCATCGCCGAGGGGCCTTAGATTATTTCCATCTTGGGGCTGTGCGTTGGCGCTGAGTGTCAGGATCTCCCATTCTTCCTAAGACCCACGGCCGAGGCTTCCTTTCCCTTCCAGTCTCCAAGTCAGCAATGCCTTTTTGGGCCAGGCCGTTTGCAGTTAGCTGGCTCTGAAACATTCACTTGGGTTTTCTCCTCTATTCTGATACAAAGTCACACTCCATTCTCTATAAACAATTCAGCCAGCATGTAAAGGGTCATTTACACACACACACACACATACACGCACACACACACACACATACACTCACACGCACACTCACACATGCACACGCACAAACACACCCTCACACACACACATTCACACACACGCACACACTCACAAACACACACACACTCACACTCACACACACCCCCTCACACTCACACACACTCACATATACACACTCACACACACACACTCACACCCTCACACACACACACTCACACACACACACACACACTCACATACACACACGCACACACTCACAAACACACCCTCACACATGCACACTCACCCTCACACACACACACACACACACACACACACACACACACACACACTGAGTCACCTGAGATACTTTTCCTCCCTCCAGGACCCCAGGTCTTGTCTTTGAGGTCTGAATGGTGTGGCCTCTTTTTCTCTAAGAATCCATCCAGCCTTCTTCACAAAAGCTGACTCCCTTACTTCTCAGCAATTGTTTAGAATTCACCTGGTTTTTAACTTAAAAGTATGTTTCATTTTTGGGTAACAGTGATGCTACTGTAGAAAGGTGTGTATAACCTACAGTTTCGTAAATTGGATCCTATGTGTTTACTGACTTCCAAGATGACTCCTGAGTTTGTATTTTTTTTCACACGTCTTTAACCTGCCTTGGATGTTTTACACTTAAATTGTCTCTCTTCCTAGCCAAATAGCTAATTATCTGTAAATAATGCCCTGAAGTGTGGCAGGAGAGGTAGTTTTGAAAGGAACCCTACTGAATTAGTCGGTAATGAAAATAACTCCTACTGAAGTTATCTGTTTTTTAAGATGCATTTTTACATAATGGGTCCTCCCCTTTTAAGTGAATCATCCTAATAATAAGACTCGGGACACAAAAGCATTAAAAGGAAGATGTTCACTCAGGGCTCTAGGTCAGTACAACCTAAACTCATAGATTCTCCAATCTCACCCCAGCTGACTCCAGTTTTAACTTTTTTTTTTTTTTTAAGATTCTATTGGGGAATTGGGGGAGGGGAACAGCATTGGAGAAATGGGGAAGGGGAACAGACAAGTTGCTGTCCTTTTGTTCTTCAGTCTAGTTGTGGAGGACATCGCTTCACTGGTCCATGTTGGTATTATTATTGCGCTCTTCCCAGGTGAGGCAGTCGCTCACCAGCCATTGGACGGCTGCTCACGGCGGCTCACGAAAGCTCAGGCGCACCGCCAGCCAGCCCCACTGCAGCCTACACCGTCGCCGGCAACTCACAGCAGCCCAGCTCCAGGTCGAGCTGTTGTTCACCATCTTAGCTGTAGAGGGCACAGCGTCACTGGCCGTCATGTGGGATCGGAACCAGGGCCCTGCTGCTCAGAGCTGGCATCCCAAGCCAACTCCTAACCAATGCGCCACTCGGCCAGCCCCAGTTTTTCCTTTTTATCCCTGAACTTTATCCTGCTGTGAAACCCTAGTTCAGGTCGTGTCACTGGATGTCACATATCCTCTCACAGGTCCTAATAAACCACTCTCATCCCGAGTGTAAAATGGGCCTACTTTCTATCAAACTTAAATGAAGTCAGAGGAGAACTCCAGACAACTAGGCAAGATCACCTTGTCCCAAACGCACAGCATTTAATATTAATATTGTTGTCTTAAAATATTAATTCTGATCCACTCAACTAAACTGATGAAATAATTTTATTCATTTTTAACTAATTTTAATTAACTATATAGCCATGTGTTGGCTTTGAGTGGCAAACAATACGACCCCTTAACAGAAAAGTTTGGAGAAAGTGGGGACAGGGCTGCAGGGTCTGCTCACTGCCCACCCAGTCCTCAGGACAGGGGTTTGGGGGTTCCTCCTGTCCCATGTGAAAGGAACCAGCTGCATTATTGTTAGCGATGTTTGCATCCAGTGAATGCATAACATCAACAAAGTTTCCAGGGAGAAAGAGGAAGGGCAAGAGCCTATCAGCTCTCTTCCAAATTAAAACAT